TCTCAGCAAACCTAGTTCCCTCAGGTCATGTAATTGTTCTATTTGAGTATCTGTTAGTCCTGGTTAGTCTAAGTTCTGGTTTAAGCCTTCCTGGCTTCGGCTTGTGTATCCGCCAGTTAAATAAATATATCTTGTCCGTGTTGTTTGTCTGCTGCGCCTTCAGGCGGCAGTATTGAGTGTTCTTGCTGTTACCTTTGACTTCGGTTCCACTTCCTGCATATTGTTGTAAAAATAGTAAATAAAGTCTTTCACTGTGAAACGTTTGTTCTGCTGAGTCCGTTTGAACCGTCATCACAGAACATGATCAAGTCTGATTTATAGATAAATGGTGGAAATTTAAAGACACGGTGACATAAACATTAGTTCAAAGAAGCTCTTTTATCAGAACCTCTCATTCTGTCTTGAAACAGAGCTCACCTGTGTGGACAGGTGAACCATTTGTGTCAGATCTGTGATTGGGCAGACTCACCCGTAGACGCAGTGTGCAGCGGTCAGCAGCCAATCACTGCCAATCAGAGAGGCTCCACAGCGGTGATGCCCCCGCCACTGCAGAGACACAATCCACGGCCACGCCCCCTTTGCAGCATTAACCCCGCCCACCACACGGCCTGACAGGTACAAACACACAGGTAAAGCAGTCAGACTGAAACAAACTGGGTCAAGATTACAGAGCAGACATTTTGGTTCTATGCTGTAGCTCACGTCTAAGTTTTATTTGAATTTCTAGTTTTAGTTTCTGGTTACATTTCCATCAAGAGTTCTATTTACAGTTCTTGTTCTGGTCCATTTCCACTCCTAGTTCCAATTTAAATTCCTAGTTGTGGCTCTGTTCCTCGCTCTAGCTCCAGTTCTACTTCAGTAGTGCCTTTTCTTTCTGGCTTTTTGCCTTTATTTAGAGCAGTAGAGATAGACGGGAAAGAGGGGAGAAGAACGGGGAGAGACCTGCAGCAGACGGTCGTGAGCGAGAGTCGAACCCACGACCGCTGCGTCGGGGACCAACAGCCCTGTTCATGGGTCGCCCACTCAGCTAGGTGAGCTGTGGGGGCGCCCAGCTTCAGTAGTACCTTGACCAGGTGTCCTGTCTTCTGATTGGTCTGACTCATTTGTGAAGTTCGAGGCCAGACGAACTCCACAGGCTGAAACACACAGATTCTGGGTCATCCTTCACATGTTGCATAACTCAACTGTAAACTCACCTGAAAATCACCTGAGAAGGCTCTGAACCAGGTGAGATACTCACGTTGGTTGTTACAGCTCAGTGAAATCACTTCATCACTGCTGCAGCTTCCACTGTAAGGAATCACATCACATATGATGAACATCACTGAACCGTAAATATCCATCTGTCTGTCTATCTATCT